CAAAGAGCTTTCAACGCTTCTTCTTCAGATATATATATATATATATATATATATATATATATATATATATATATATATATATAATATATATATATATATAATATAATTTATAAATATATATATATGTGTGTGTGTGTGTGTTATATTATATTATAATAATATATTAGAATACTAAAGTTTTATTCTAAAATCGGACATTATTTTTCGAATCATTGCTTGAATCCTGTTCTTTTATTGTCCTTTCTTCTCACTAAAGTCTTCGCATTTTCTTTCATTCTCAGTAAGCCTAATTTAGTTGATTTTGTTTAGTGGCATATCAACATCTCTATGGGTTATTTAATGGCGAAATTAAAGTATTTTGTACGCAATTTTATGGCTTCAACTTGATATATTTTGTACATAATTTTATACTTTCAAGTTAAACATATGTTTTCTAGATAGATGAGAAAATGTATTACTGGTAATTTTACTATAAAAATGCATTTTATGCTTTTTTTAATGTTTTGATTTTTCTTTGAGGGGTCCGCTATTTGTCCATAGCTGGGACCCTAACGGGTGCTACCACTCCGGGTCAGACTTGGAAACAATAATTAAGAAGTGGTTCCACGCTCCTCAAAATCCAATCTTCCGATCAGAAACTACTCTCAGTAACACCTTGCGTCTTAGTGGCATTATAGCCTTGGTTGGAGTGTAATTATTAAAAATAAAAAAAATGGTATGATATGAAGCCCATATAGAAATTTAACCGATCATTTGATAGTCGAGGGAAGCATCAGTTGCCCATTTCACTGCCATTTTTAGAATACAAGAGCAAAACTGGTATCTGGTAAATCAAAGGCTTTACATTAGGGACACATTACCATCCCTTAGATTTCTCATTAGGTTAAGCAATAGAATTATTCAAAATAATGATGCTATCAAAATATAAAAAAAAAACAGTGAATAAGACAAGTACATAAATTAAACCTACATGTCGAGCTGGTTTCTCACTAAATTAATTGCAGAATATAAATATGAATAAATTGGGGTGGGGGTCTGTTCTTTTATACATACTTCCTAATTTACATATATACATATTTTTTCACGTATTCCTTATTTTGTCTGGAGGTGGCATTTGATAAAATACTTTTTTAAATTAAAAAAAAAGTCTGTGAGGCATGAATTCCACCCAGATATCTAACAGCAAATAAAGCCTGGGGTTCTTGGCAAAGATCATCCTTCTTTGAAAATTGTAGACTGGTGCTACAGAATCAAAAACGAGGAACTGTACCAAACAACTACATCACTTTCTACTGTAAGAAACTACATCACTTAAGGACCACCAATAGCAGCAACAATTAAAATGGATAGCTCATATAACTCGAAGTGAAAATGATATCATAATGAAGATGTTAACATTATTTCAAATAGAAGGTCCACAAGGAAACCCCTACCAATACTGGAAATATCGGTAAAGATACCGAAGATAAGAAACCTATTTTCCTAAAACGAAACTGTTTTGAGACAAAGATTTTATAGATTGCGATCGAAAATAGTACTAGCTGCTCGGCCAATGAACGCCAAATGTTTCCTTGTAGAGAAATGGTTAGTATTACCATTAGCATTACCATTTATTCGTTGAGGGAATTGTCAGCTGCCCTCCATGCTGCAGTTTTCGGGTATTCAAGTGCATAAATGCACTGAAGCCCAGAGAACCTGTCCAACAAAATTAGACAAAGCCCGATCTATAAATGTCTGTTGCTAATAAAGTTACACTTGTATCCCAAGGCTTGCCGAATTGGTTTTGATCATAAGCTGTTAAGAGATGCGATATCTCAACTGAGACTTTTCCCGCCGAGACATGTTCGCGTTTTTCAGCCAAATGCCACCTCATTTCTGCACCTTTCTCTCATTGTATATATGAACACCTTTTACCTACATACAGACCTACAGACCATATACCTACCTACCTACATACATACATACATATATATATATATATATATATATATATATATATATATATATATATATATAATACACAGGCAAAATCAAACTGTAAAAACAGACTTATGATCATCGAAGCAATACCTTTACATTAAAAACAATTTTCTATAAATAAAAACAATTATGATTTAAGGTCCCGTATCCTCAAATGTATAGATAAAATATAAAATATAATATAATAATATATATAATATAAAATGTATACATGAAATAAAATATAAAATGTATATATAAAATAAATGGATAAATAAAATAAAATAACACTAAAGACGCCTTAGGAAATTTAACGACTCCCCAAACTGAGTCGTTGGTTGATGAGCAAAGTTGAGACAATTGAATAGTTTATGACATACTTTATATAAGAAATATATTACATAACGAGAAGGGAAGAGACTAGAGGGTTGCTGAAGACGTATTCTTTTAGCAGTTAAAAGTCATGACATCGAGGGCGATATCCAAATACATGTGTTTCTATAAAGTTCATTGAAACACTTATCTTATAGTTCATATCTTATTCCAATAGCTGCTTTCAATGCATTATTCTGATTCTCCTCGTCCTGGAGTGAAAGAAAACACGTCTTTTCCCGTTCGAAGTCTCGGGGCCTCTCAAATTGGCGCTCGAATTCTATTTCGCGCTTAATTTGGGGTCATACGCATTATTATCAGATGAATGGGTCCATCCTAGTATCAGCAGTAGTTATCTACTTCACAACACTATTTGCACATGTCCCGACAAACCCCAATTCTACGAAACTCAGCATCACCCCAATTCTACGAAACTCACCTACCCTGATGATGACTCAACAAAGTCAAAAGACTGAACCATATTTCTTCCAAACTTTGAATAATTTCTGACGGAATTTTCTCCTTAGCCGAGATTGAGTATTCGTAATTTGTAAAAGTCGATCAATAAAATTAAGACACAAAACGTCTGTTGTCTTTAATAACACTTGCCTTAAAGAATATTTGCTGCGTAAATACACACAGACACACAAACATACACACACACGCACGCGCACACACACACATACACACCCATCTCTCTCTCTCTCTCTATATATATATATATATATATATATATATATATATATGGATAAAGACAAAATTAAACCTTATCTTAGCTGACTCGCTTCGTCCTCTGAAGGGATTTATCAAGGCAAATGCAAGGATTTTATTTTGCAACAAGTATTTATATACAAGAGCAAAAATGTTATTGGCTTCTTTTTTTTAAATTTTAAAACTTAAAAAGACTCAGAAATATTCATCATAATTAACTGAAAAATCTGGCAAGCGATGGAGGACACCAATTACTTATATACAAGAGCAGAAATATTTTACAAACATATTTATATATAACTTGTAAGGGTATGGATGGGAATTACTTACAGATAACAAAAGAAAGAACTTCTTTCCATTTCTATTAAGTACATATAGGATACTAAACGTCTCCTTGCGTCCAACGACATCGCATCCTCCGACATTTACACGAGAACACAGCAATTAGGAATACAAGAATAATATGGATATTCAGATTTCTTAAACTTGTATTGCAGAACAGCATTCTTCTTAGAATAACACAAAACACGTATGATGGTAGCATAAATAATACAAGATGAAACATTTTCATCAGCAGAATTCAAGAAGAAAAGTTAAAATACGGACATTTAACTAAATTTCTGTATTTCTTACCATTCACTCTTGGTTGTTCACTCTTGGTTGATTTTTCACTTCACTGATCCAGAACAGTCGAAATAAAGTCTACATTCAAATAAGTATCTGTTTCTTGAATGCTACCTATTAGCTGATAATATGTGATCTATAATAATATGAAGCAGTAACAGATTATATTGCACAATCGGAAAACATAACCTCAACTACTAAACATTAGAAATTGGCATCATAATGTTTGAATAACTCACAAGACACATTTGAAATGAACTGTGCATAAAACCACTTACAAGTGTAAACTCCTCAAGCAGCCAAAAGAACCATGTTTCACCTTATGGCACCTATTTTTGCAAAGACGGTGGTGCTAAGAAAAATGGCCCAAAAAGCAATTCCCCAACGTGGATGAGAGATGAGTTTTTATTTTTATTTTTATTTTTTATTTTATTTATTTATTTATTTTTATTTTTTTTGCAGGATAAAAAATTCCACTTCCAATGATATCAAACATGTCTTGGTAACATTTTTTTCCTGATACCCCTTATATTCACTCTAAATCGAAGAGACTACTTCTGTGGAAGAATAGTCTCTCAGTTTCTCTCTATGATTGAAGTGAGTTCTGTTCTAAGTTCACTATTAAAGCAGACCTTCTGCTGTACTTAGCTAAATTATTTTTATATATACTAGCATTTAGCCAATACAAGACACGAAAGCCACTCAAAGTAGAAAGATACTGTTAAAATGAAGGAGTTGTGTAATATGAACTAAAGAATGGGTGACATGAAGTAAAGATTTTTCAGAAGTAAGATAAAGACAAACACTTCACTTGAAAAGACTGAGATTGGAGCGTCCAGGAAAGCACCTATGCGGGATTTTGTTTTTCATCATTAAGTTGGCGCATCATAATCTTCCTTCTCAGTTGGCTTTGGGCTCTTGTAAGCTGTGGTTATTATATAGGTACGTTGAATGGTGATTTTTTTATGTGTCGTCTGCAGACGATCACTATCTGGAAAGTTGGCGCATCATAATCTTCCTTCTCAGATGATCTTATGCTGTATTAAAATAAGTAACTGCCAGGAATTTAACTGATCTTGAAAGGACCTCAAGGATTAAATGGCGTCGTAGGCTATACTCCATACAGTGAGTCTCTTCTCACAAACAACAAAGTCTGGCAAACCTTTCTTATCTCCATCCATAGAGTTGTTCTATGGCAGATCAGCATAAGAGGTAAAAGGTCATCAGATGGAGGCTCGTTAAGATAAAGAATAGAAAATCTGATTTTTGGTGTTAAAATGAAGAAACGAGATGAGTGCAGACCGCGTTATATGGTCCCGATTCGCTCTAGTACCATGAAATCGAGCACCAAAGAAGGATTTAGCGGCCTGTCTCAGTCTGTTCCTATCTATCTATCTATCTATCTATCTATTTCAATCTGCTCATATTTATCTAAATCTATCTATCTATCTATCTATCTATCTATCTACCTATCTATCTATATATATATATATATATATATATCAGTCTGATCACATATATCTATCTATCTATGCTCATCTCAACCAGTTCATATCTATCTCAATCTGCACTCATCTATCTATCTATCTATCTATCTATCTATCTATCTATCTATATATATATATATATATATATATATATATATATATCAGTTTGCTCATATCTATCTATCTATCTATCTATCAAACTATCTATCTATCTCTATCTACTTTTGTATTGCTCTATATATCTATCTGCTTTGGTCTACTCATATCTATCTATCTATCTATCTATCTATATATATATATATATATATATATATATATATATATATATATCTTACTTATTATAAAACGCAGATTGTGTGTGTGTGTGTGTGTGTGTGTCTGTACGTTTATATATTGGATCGGATTTCCTACATTTTTCAACCTATTTCAACAGAACTTCACAGGACTGCGTAAAATTACCTTGTGGTGGTTGTGACAGCGCCAAGAATTAGAAAAAACACAATTGTTTTTGCACGAAATCAATTTGAAAACATGATAAAACACGATTCTGTCGCCAGAATGAAAGGAGGACAACTCATATCAAGTTATACTTATAAAACCCAGGTTGTTTGTGTGTGTGTGTGTGTGTGTGTGTGTGTGTGTGTGTGTGTGTGTGTGTTTATATATGGGATCGGATTTCCTACATTTTTTAACCGATTTCAACATAACTTCACTTTTTTTTTGGTAGGTAGTGTTTCTTATTGTCTTGCACACTTTTTTCTTTATTTTTACATTCAGAATGCTTTAAAAATTCCATTTACAAGACAATTGTTTATAATAAAATTCTATTCAATTGATAGACTCATAATGATTGAAAACAATGTTTTTGTTTGAGTTTGGATTTGACCAATTCGTAAAAAATGTTTGCTCATATCTATCTAGCTACCTATCTATCTATCTATTTATGATCATATCTATCTCTGTCAGTTCATATCTCAATCTGTGCTCATATATCTATCTATCTATCTATCTATCTGTCTGTCTGTCTGTCCGTCTCATTCTTTCCCGTACCTATATATCTATCAAGCATGGGTCATGCTACTGAGACTCACATGTACTCCTTTTATCAATTCCAGGCTTTTCATTAAACTTAGATAGTGTGACTTGAAGAGGCCACATTGTTATTTGGGAAAATTGATGCCTTAGAATAAAGAAATGGAAACGTGATTCTTGGTGTTAAAATACACCCAAAAGATGAGTAGAGTTTGAATTGTGAATTCACATTTCTTTCGTGGTTCTTTCACTAAAGGTTGTGCGACAAAATCCTTAAATAAATTCACCAACGAATGGTCCGAGGATATAACTTCCAAAACTTAGGCTCTGTATATATTCCAGCGAGTCAACACAGCTGGGCTTCGTACGCTTCAGAATTCTGAATTCATTTTGAAATTTAACAAAGTGCTGAGACATGTTGAGACCATATAAAATGGTTATTAGTGCATCTGCCAAGGTTGATACACCTACTTCGCTACTGCGGAGGTAATTATATGCTTTTTATGAAACGTACAGTGCTGGCTGTCAACGTATATATACCAGTGTAACAGCAAAATTGTCCAAATCGTGTAACAGCAAAATTGTCCAAATCGTGTAACATCAAAATTGTCCAAATCGTGTTACAGCAAAATTGTCCAAATCGTGTAACATCAAAATTGTCCAAATTGTGTAAAAGCAAAATTGCCCAAATCCTGTAACAGGAAAATTGTCCAAATTGTGTAACAGCAAAATTGTCCAAATCGTGTAACAACAAAATTGTCCAAATCGTGTTACATCAAAATTGTCCAAATTGTGTAACAGCAAAATTGTCCAAATCGTGTAACATCAAAATTGTCCAAATTGTGTAACAGTAAAATTGTCCAAATCGTGTTACAGCAAAATTGTCCAAATCATGTAACAGCAAAATTGTCCAAATTGCGTAACAGCAAAATTGTCCAAATCGTGTTACAGCAAAATTGTCCAAATCGTGTTACAGCAAAATTGTCCAAATCGTGTAACATCAAAATTGTCCAAATCGTTTTACAGCAAAATTGTCCTAATCGTGTAACAGTAAAATTGTCCAAATCGTGTTACAGCAAGCGATAATTGCCCATCCCACAAAATGTTTAACATCTAAAAAAACTACTAAAATAATTGATTTTTTCCAGGTTTTCAGAAAAGGCGTTTAACCATTTGTTGTGAGAATCACTGGAAAAACTCTCGGAGTTATTCAGCTAGAAAGAGAACAGGTTAAAATCGTTTTATGTCAGACACACTGTCTTCGCAAATGAGCAATGTTGAGAGGAAAAAGATCATTCAGGCTTTCGATAATGGTCATTCATACAGTGGTTTCTATCTTCGAAGTTCATGCATGAACTATCAAAGAGAATGGTGAATAAGTTTATAAAAAGAGGAAAACTAGATCAGGAGGTCACAACAGTAACAGGGATCATCATTTCAACTTAAAGCTAAAGAGATCAATTAGAAAAGATCCAACTCAATCCATAGGATGCTTGGCGCGTGAGAGATGAGTTTAAGATATGTCAGTTCAACGAGCAGTCAAAAAAAAGAGTTGAAAATGAAATCCTACGTGTGAGGTACCTTGTTACTTCAGGACAGAAAGTTAGAAGGATAGAGAGGCTGAAGATCATCTTGAATAAGTTCGAAAATGATCTTGGAATTATATATATATATATATATATATATATATATATATATATTGACTCTATATCAATCTTTCATGAGCTTCCGATCCTTAGCTATGATTAATTAATGAAGACCATATTATTTTCGTTTATGATCGATTTCTTCACGATTTTTCTGTTAAGCTTGGAGAGTAATTATACATTCTTACTGCTCAAAGTAGAATCGAATAGTGTTATAAAAACCACAGGGAATTCCTGTAAGATATCTTTAATCATTTCTAAGATACAACGGTTCAAATCTTAATCTAACAAATAGGTAATTCTGCTTTTACACGATTGGACAATTTTGTTGTTACACGATTTCGACAATATTGTTGTTACACCTGGTATGTCTTCCAGACACAACGTCAGTGTTCAACGTTTATGTTAGAAACTAACCTTTAGTGTTATTTCCCAAACTAGTGCAGACATACAGTAGTGTACAATATGAAGCGTCTTTTGGCGTATTTATTTTGATTATATTCCAACGATGTCAAGGCCAAAATGGCGGAGAACGGGGTGGTAGTGTGAAAATAATCCATACAGTGAGTCTCTTCTCACGAACAACAAAGTCTGACAAAACTTTCTTATCTTCATCCCTGGAGTTGTTCTATGGCAGATCAGCCCAAGAGGTAAAAGGTCATCAGACAGGGGCTCGTTAAGATAAAAGAGATGAAAATTTGATTTTTGGTGTTAACTGACAAAAGTGGAGAAAAGTGCAAACAGAATCAAAAATTCAGATATCTTTTTATTGTTCCTTTTCGTTCTTTTATTATTAAAGCTTGTATCAAAGAAGGATTTAAGAATACGATTACCAAAAAAAAAAAAACGTAGGCTATAAACGGATACTGGTGAGCCCATTCAGTTGGGGTTTGGGGTGCTGTAAACCCACGAGAATATTTTTCAAATTTGACATTTGAGGCCATCTTTTCAATATGTATTTTTCTATCGGATTGATTTTCAATTATTTTGATTATATCGTTTATTAGGTGTGTTGTTTTGCTTAGTCTGTAGTGTGGAATATCCGATTGAAAAATGGCGGTGCCCATTAAAAATCGTTAATTTATTTCCATCATCATCGACATCATCAGTCTCACAACCGAGTGGGTGTGGTCGTTGAGTCGCTGCGCTGCAGAGTACCTGACCTGTTCCCTCCACATATCTGGGTTGAAAGCTGGAAAAGTATTCATTCAGGTGTAGCGTGTTTTGGGCAAACGGTCTGAGCACAAACCATCCCATTCCAGACCAAACTATAAACTGTGCCCTCCAACTTGGACACGAGCACAATTGCCGTTGAATCGATCAGGGAACGCCGCATCCCCCCCTGCTTTGGTTATTGACTTCAATCTAGAAATCCCAACACCCAGCAATCCCGAGACACCAGCGCACTAGCTGCATAAATAGCTATGGAGCTCAGTCTCTCCAATTTGACCCTACAAGAAGGTTCATCCGCCGCTTTGCAAGTCTTGTTTTTAATCCTTCTCTGTGTCTCGCCATCTTTCTCATCAGAAAAGCCTGGTGGAGGATCTGGAATATTTGCCAAGTAGGTATTTACCCACTGCCCCACGCAGTAAGATGTGGCACAAGGCCGAGTTTTATTGTGGGATATCCGAGCCCGTAGGCTCGGGCAAAAATTCCCTATAGACCTCGTAAAAAACGAAGCCAGTTTCCCGAGACAAGACTCTGCCCTTCGACATAGCCTCGTTGCAATACTAGTATGATATTAGTTGCACTCGTAGAGTGACTTGTCATAAATTTATTTCCACTAAATGACAATTTCGTATTTTCTCAAAAACGGGACAGCACAGCCAGGCAACAATGCTACAACAATGCAGCAAGCAAATCTTCAATTCTTTGATTTATAACTCTATTTTTTAAATCAGTATCACCCACTATAAGGTATAACGCCACTAGCAAGCGGTTACAGCGTGTGAAAGGATTGGGAACAGAAACATTAATAATGAGTTGGAAGGGGAAAGTGTAATGAGGAGAACAAGAGTTAGCGATTGACATTGCATTTAAATTTTTGCGGATTAAAGTTGACTAGAAAGCATGGAGCCGAGACGGAGTTCCACAAGTGAGAAGTGCGAGAAAATAAACAGCAGAAGATTTACGGTTACATCTCGCTATTTCAACTGTAAATTGATGAAATCTCAACGCCAGTTTAGAACTGCGCTTAAATTAAGAAAATCTAAGTACCAGAGCGAAGAACAATATTTATTTGCATATATATATATATATATATATATATATATATATATATACAAAATGTGGCACAAGGCCAAAAAGGTATGTGTAAAAGGTCGGTCTTCTTCTGTCTTGAATTTAAATTTAGCTAGCCATCGTTACTGACCCAAACATATTACAATATTCCTTACACCAAAACAACGCATTCTTAGTACATCCACCATAATACCTCAGAATCTCTATGAACATCCTCTCTGGGATGGGGGGGTAATTACAATTCTAAATTCTAATCCTTAATGAATACTTACAAGAATGACAAAACTATTTGCAAGAAACTAAATAATAAAAGAAAACATCCGAACAATTACTATGAAAATCTTTATCGAAAAGACACAGAGAGAAAACGTTATGGCGGTGAGAGAGTGACTGAAGCCAATTACCAAAACGGATTTATTTTAAAACGAAATATATTTTTTTAAACCCATCTATTTTGTTGGAAAATTCACTGATTAAAATATTTATTCAGAGCCCTTCAGTGACTAGGGGTCCCGAAGTTTAGGGTTCATTTTTTTTATAGTACATCTGTCACTAGCGGAGAGGGAAGACTGCATAAAGCTGCTATGAACAAAGTAATACAGCCTTTGACTGATGTTACGAGAATGCCGTAAATTGAAATGTTGTAATCCGATGTTGACAGAATGCCGTAAATTGAAATGTTGTAACCTGAGCCTGCATATTTCTATTCTCAGTTGTTCGTCTGTTAACAATGAATTGTCATCCAATATAGGGTATCATTCGATATCCCGTTCCAAAAACAGCTTATATATATATATATATTTATATATATATATTTGTGAAGAGTTAGGTTTACATGAAGCGTGAGTACGTATGTAAGGATGTTTGTGCCAGACGACAAACAAAAGACTGTTGATTGGACAAAGAAAAGAACTTAGGAAAACGAAACGACAGAGAAATGAGTGAAGCAAAACTGTTCATTGTGATGTAATAATCATGACTTTATCTGTCGATATAACGTAATTTCAACAATAAAATTATATTGATATATTAAGGAATGATGACCCTGTCATTCGACGGTAAAATGAAAGATAAGCGTACGAATATGTAGACATCAATCCCAGTTTTTAAATATCTACCTATCTAACTCGCTAGGTAGTTGGCAACCTTAGCCTATTCATATCTATCGATCTGTCAATCTGTCGATATCAATCTCATCATTATTAGATAAGGTTATGCTATTTGCAATTAACTTTACTACTATCGACATGTTAGACAACAAGAATCATTCCTTACGTGATTCCACCCACGCCCAAACACACACGCCGCCTTCCACGGAGCACAAGCTTTGGAATATTTCTCTCGAGATGAGTGCAGACTGAATTGAAAATTCAGATTTTCGTTATATGGTTCCGATTCGCCCTGGTACTATGAAATTGAGCACCAAAGAAGGATTTGGGAGTCTATTCTTATCTGTCTCGTATCTCTCTGCATTGGTCTGCTCATATCTATCTATATCTATATCGATATATATATATATATATATATATATATATATATATATATATATATATATATATATATCAGTCTGATCACATCTATCTAACTATCTGTCTATTTCAGTCTGCTCATATCTATCTATCTATCTATCAATCTATCTATCTCAGTCTGCTCATATCTATCTATCTATTTATCCAGACTTATCAATGATTTTGATTGTATGAAATCTGCTAATATATATATATATATATATATATATATATATATATATATATATATATATATATATATATCAGTCTGATCACATCTATCTATCTATCTATCTATCTATCTATCTATCTATTTCAGTCTGCTCATATCTATCTATCTATCCAGACTTATCAATGATTTTAATTGTATGAAATCTGCTAGCATATATATATATATATATATATATATATATATATATATATATATATATATATATATAATTGTGTATTTAGGCAGTAATCCCTTTTTATACAGGTTTCATAGGAGCCAACTGATAAGGCACTGCCATTAAGCTTTATATCAAATTTTTCTTGCATTTATACAAGTGACTTCTTTTATAGACATATGGTGTGTAAGAACTGTTGCAATGATTTGTGGATCCGAACACCTTCCCCTAGTCTATCCGAAGACGAAACCAATTCTCAGTAATATCAATTATGAACACGGCCACAACGTGCTAACTCTATTCGAGAATTAAAAAGATTCCTAACACTATAAAACAAAATCAACATATTCAGAGAAATAAAAAAAAAAACATCCTTTATAATCTCTAAAAGATTAAACGAAAGTGCTCGCATCCATAAATCATTTACACACTCTATGTCCAAAAAAAGAAATCATTTGTACGAATGCCGGGAAATATAATAAAAAGCTTAATACCGTATGTAAAAATAATATTGTTTATGAATTCTTGTCATTTGGGAGAGTATCTCTAACAATAAAAATCAACAAACAATCTTAAATTCTTACATTGGCCACATATGCAAGACACTCTCTCGTAGGCTAACTTATCATTTGGTAAAATTTAGTGCATTTCACGCACATGTGGATCAATATATAACAAATAAGCAAAATCATATTAATACAAGACAAATTTTAGTTGATAACATTAAGATTTTATATAGGACGCAGTGCAAAGAAAGATTTCAAATTCTGAAGGCTGTTGTAATAAAAGAGAAACAGCCAACATTATATATTGTATCTTTCTCCATATGGGACTGTGTATTGAAGCATATATATATATATATATATATATATATATATATATATATATATATATCAAGAAATATAGTCTATATTGTGTAATGCAATCTTCGTAATATATAAATATATATATAGATAACCGCCAAAATAGACTACCCACAATGCACCACTGACCCGTATATGTATAAATACCCGAGAAAAATAACAGCACACGTGGCCTGTCGATTGCATATAGCATGAAACAGACTGTCGCCTCTAAGTGTTGGCTTCTATGTTCACTTTTATATATGCACAGGCGGATTTTTTCCCGCAGTAGGATGCCATTAGTTTCTGCGGTAGACCAGTTCCCATCCAAGAAGCCGTTATCTATTACTCCACTATATATATATATATATATATATATATATATATATATATATATATATATAATTTAAAAAATTAGAAAAATCAGCCGATTCCGCTACCTTCGTTTCAACCTTTCGGTATCTTCAGCCGATTTCGGTCAATTGATTTCCAAACGATTTATTTTTTTATACACCGAATAAATTTTAGATACTGTTAAATTTTAATTTCTATTTTTTTTTTATACGTGTATTGAACAATTTTTAATACTACTGTTTCCTCCTGTTCTAATTCAACTCTGACCATTAACATTTTTTATTATATATATATATATATATATATAAAATATATATATATATATATATATATGAAAATTTTTAGAAAAGGTTAACCTGTGAAAATGACAATATATATAAAGGTAATAGACAACAGGAAAACTGTATTATTAACCGACGCGTTTCGTTCGAGGTGGACTTTTGAAGACAAAACCGAAATTAATTTATTGAAAACAAAGTAACCATTAACAACAAACAAAATGTCCTTAGTAACTAGACGAAATCAGAAAACGCTATTGTATTCATATTGTCAACATTTCTACACGTGAAAGTACTTTCCGTAATTTTCAATTGACAATATGAATATAGTGTTTTCTAAGGATCATTTTGTTTTATGTTAACTGTTACTTTGTTTTCAATAAAGTCATTTCGTTTTTGCCTTGAAAATGTCTACACTGGACGAAACGCGTTGACTAATAATACAGTTTTTCTATTGTTTTGTTTTAACTTTAAATATATATATATATATATATATATATATATATATATATATATATATATATATATATATATATGAATGAATGTGCGTGTGTAAAAAATAGTTTTAACGTATACTATATTTATGGCTTAAAGTTGTCTATATCTATCTCTAGAGCGTATGTAAATATAAAAGTGAAGATTGAGGTCAACACCCAGCGGCGACAGTCTGTTCCAAGTTTATATGCAATCTTCGTAATACATATATATATATATATATATATATATATATATATATATATATATATATATGAAAGGTGTATTCCTTGGCGTCCTACCGTTTCTATTTCCGTAAGTCTCTAATCAATATTAACTTTCCTATCCTGCTATTTATTTCACCCAGAAGATCGATCGATCAAAGTCAAGCAATAAAGACCAAAAACACAATGCATAAATTGTAAAACATGGCTCTTGCTGAACGATAGCAAAACGCAATTAAACACGCCAATGACCTGACGCTAGAAGTCGACTAATCAACCTACAGGAGTTGTTTTTTTTTTTTTTTTTTATTTTGCTTTTGTTTTTGTTTTTTTTTCTCTCATCTTGGTTATACACAGTGCCTCCACCTATAACGCAACCGTTCCTCATCCAAGATTCATGGTCTTTGTCTTCCGAAATAGGTCAATGGTGTTAGCAATCTCCCACCCGCCACCGTCTCTCTTTATCTCGTCATACTTGTCTCCTCTGCGTGTCTGAGAGTTGAACGTGAGAGTTTCTGTGTCTGTGTGTCCGTTGCCTGTCAATCAAGATGACGTCATGTTCTAATTGAAATCTAAGAGAAACATACAGACATCTGAAAGAGAAAGAAAAAAAATGAATAAACGATTCTTTTTATCAGCATTGTAAAATATTCGCTAGTGTTCTTCCTTTGTTCTCGTCTTCTTCGTGTATGCATTTGTGTGTGCGCGCACGAGATCTCGTCCTTCTGCATTTGTTGTATGTAAGCCTGCGTGCATAACTTTCTGCGCTGCTGTCGATGACTGCATGATTTTTATTGTCTGCATGCATACATGTGCGCATGAGCGAATCTATTAAATTTGATGACGTCATATTCTTTGCATTTGAATGCCAACGAAAAAGCTATGCATAGCAAACTTTTAATGGAGAAACTCAATAGCAATTAAAATCTCCAAAGACATTGGAATTTGCACACATCGTACTTGGGCATATCAATGAATCTTTCGAAAAGAAAAAAAATTGTTTTATTAAAAGTAAAGTAAGAATTCAAAAGACAAACAACGCATAAGAACATAAAACCATAGCATTATTTGACCTATATTTCTACAGAGAAGGTTCTAATAATCTTATTATGATTCTGCTTCTACCCCTTAGTTAGCACGTACGACCGTTACGTCCTGCCAATGCCTCATAAATAATGGACATTATTTTGACAGCGTGAAAAGCCAGAAAAGCCATATCAGAGACGATACTTCGTTTGAGTGAGAAAATGAAAGAAAGAAAGAAGAGACAATAACACTCTCGTGTGTTTAACGTCTGTTTCAGTGAAACGGAAAAAGTTTTATTTTAATTCAAATCAAATCTTTTCATTTGTACCCCATTACTTCTTAAAATGACGAACAGCATTCATATTTATGATTGTTATTGCAACATTTTCTTAAAATTGTTAGGCTCAAATATTTAACGATAAGGTAGTGGAATTTCTACGGATATTTTATTTGTCGTAGAACTCGCTATGATTTTATCCAATCATTAACTTAAGATTTAAAATTCGTCAGAAAATTCAAATAGGAAAACCCTAGATTTTTTACGGGTATTTCTAATAATAATAATAATAATAATAATCTCCTACAGATAGTAAACACCAAATTCAAACCATCAACGAAGAAGATACACTCTTTAAAAAACAGTTTAATATACATGAAATCCTACCAACAAAAAACGAAGCGAATAACATCTACGCCAAACAAGTAAAACAGAAAGCAAAACAATTTGGCGAAATTAAATTACAAAAAGACTAGGAGGACAAAGGCGATGTATGGTAAATACCTAAAAAAAACAAAAGAAGCAGATGTGGACTAACAGAAAACAAATCAGTGACTGGGGAGCATTGGGTTGAAAGCTGAGACAGAAGGTCTAATTATTGCAGGTCAGGACCAAAGCCTCGCAATCAGATCCTATCACTGTCATATAATCAAGGATGAAACTAACCCGAAATACAGGATCTGCAGAAAATATGATGAAATTGTTGACCATATTATCTCAGGATGTCTGGAACGAACAAAAAAAAATGAATATACCTACAGGCATAACAAGATAGCAACACATGTGCAGTGGAAGATATGCAAGAAGCACAAAATCAAAACCACTGAGAGATGGTATGAGCACCAACCAGACACGTTTACCCAAAATAATGATGTAACTATCCTCTGGGACGTGCCAATTCAAACTGAAAGGGAAATAAAATATGATATTATCATAAAAGACATAAAATTCAGGAAGTGTATGCTTATTGACATAGCAGTACCATCTGAGAGAAACATCTCAAAAAAATTATCGAGAAATTTTCCAAATATAAGGACCTGGAGATCGAAATTAACAGAATATGGGGAATGAAGACTTAGACTGTCTCTACCAATAGTAATCGGAGCTCTGGGACTCACAAGAAAAGGAATGGACAATTTTATTAACAATGTCTCAAGTAACATCCACATACAAGTTGCCCAGAAGATCGCCCTACTAGGATCATATCCTAAGAAAAGTGCTATCAATTAAATGGCAATTCTCCTATAGGGTCTAAAGATCATAGTTTGGACCCGGTTCTACAGGATACAAAGCAAGAAACATCAGGTACGCAAATAATAATAATAATAATAATAATAATAATGCTATAACAGGCTTGGCTCTCGTGTATTCTGATTTTAATTTACTGGAGATGTTAACATGTACATGTTTTGGTGAATTAAGACAGCCGAGAGTAAATAACCCATTCAGTGCCACAAACGTACTTAACAGTTTCCTGACCTTAAAAATCTGGGCACGTCTTCCAAGGGTTAACGCAATGTACATCTCTGTTCATGAACGGGAGCGGCGGGGAAGAAGAAGAAGAAGAAGAAGAAGAAGAAGAAGAAGAACTCATTACATTAAACTGGCAAGTGAACTTAGTTCGTTAACCATCACCCTACCGCAGGTTCTCGTATTGATAATTGTCTTGATCTTTTGCAATAGTGATATACCATATGAACATAATCATTATGTGAAAAAGGTATTCAATAAATTGGTCAGCATTTGACTGAACACCTCTTGTTTCCCGTAAATGTATTTCTATCAGATTGATTTTCCATTGCTCTGTGCCATCAGAAGGCAGACGATCATGGCCCTCCTCGGTTTCTTTTCTTTAATATCTGTGAATTACTATACCTTCCTGAGAAAGTTGAATGGTTTTCCTTTGCCTTCTTGTTTTTGAATCCGAAGTTGCCACCTAAAGCTAGATCGCCCAGTCTACCCTGCTATTTAACCTATAGCTAGGAAGTGGAGAGATGGATTCACGCCAAGTGTTCGAAAGTGAACGCAACAAACTTAGTAGAGATTTGAAGGCTGCCGATCCAACGCTCTGATCCGATAACCACTACGCTTACAGTAACGGAACAATTTTGGTAACTTGAACTGTAACACCGTTCTTTCAACGTGCATCACTCACAACGACTTCCATTTGAGCTGTCATCACCATCATCATCATCACCAGCCGTCCTATGACCGGGTGTGGTCGTAGGGTCGTTGCGTAGATAAGCACCTGACCAGCTCCCTTCACATGTCTCGGTTGCGTACTAATGTCTCAGTCATCAAAGTATAGAGTTAGAAATTAGTGTTACTGCCTTTGGTTCAAATAACTGCCTAAAAATGGATGTGGCATTGAATGGAACATGGTTCATATTATCTCACGGTGAATTTATCGCATTCTTCTTGTTGCTAATCCCAAATCTCTTGGAGATTGTCTGGTTTATACTGGAGCACTTATTTCTTCAGTTCTCACCACAATGACTCAATTATATTGAGATCAGGACTTGAGCGCATGACCAGCTCCCTTCACATGTCTCGGTTGCGTACTAATGTCTGGGTCACTGTAAATGATCTCCTAGTCCACTTATTGACGTTGGCAACCCATTACTTCCTTCTGTCAATCTCCTTTTTTTACCTCTATGGTGGTTCCTTATTGGATGGCAGTGGAAATATTGCTGGCTCTGATGACGTATCCAAACCATTTTATCACTCTCTGGCGGGGTCTTCCAATAAATTTGGCTTACGACCACTTCACTTAGAACCACCGGTTCCCGAACGAACAGATAAGTTAAGCAACGTCGAGCCTGGTCAGTGCGTAGATGAGTGACCGCTTGGAAATACCAGGTGCTGTAAGCTCGGATGTGTTATACTGGAACATACCTATTCTATTGTTAATAGACTCTCCCACATATAATAAGTAGTAGTAGCAGTCGTGAAGAGCTCAGTGAGTCAGTCAATGTCGGACATTAAAGTATCAACAACCACAACTAGATTGCTGCGTCATTAACTATTTTAACAAGTTCCTAACGTTTTGTACGTCGAACCTTTTTAGGACCGACTTAGTGAAACACAAGCCTCTAGTGTGAAACTACTCTACAACAGGATGTAAGGGTGGTTTAATGAATAATGTCAATTGTTAATCAGAGAGCAGAGCTCTAATTTCAGTCGGATTCATTATATTTACGTACGCACAAATAACCTTGGGAAATATATGCTTACCACCTCTTTTTCCCCCCAGCCATGTGTTAATAGTAAAACTTGTATCACTAAACCATTATTAACTCCAAAAAAAGAAATTCTTATAATCTAAAACTATTTTCTGGCTTTAAATAAAACCTGCAAACGGTTGATAAGCCGTATAAACGAATCAATAAATAAAAAAAACAATAGACTTCTTTTCTTGTTTGGTGATTTCCCGCGTCATTCGCGATGCTGTCTACACAAGAGATACCTATAGGTTCTCATTTCTAATGCTTGGATTCTTTGCTGTAATTCTGTTGCTAATGTCCAAGATTTGCAGGTATACTGAAATACTCTAAAGCCTAATGCAAGTCTGTTTTTTTTTTTTATTGAAATTTCCTTTCTTTTCAGACAATTCTTAGTTTTGCCAAAATCGCCACTGTTTGGGCAGTTCTTGAATTTGAACTCGAAAGAATGAATGCAGCTCCCTAGAACATCATTCTGTTGCCAATTATATATACATATTGGCCCCCAACAGAAAAAAAAAAGTTTTAGGAGGTGATATCACAGTAGTAGTGAGAGGAAACTTAATTCAAATCACTGACAAATAACGTTGTTGTTGTTGTTAGTAGAAGTGATCATTATAAGAAAAAAAGAGTACTGTTGCTTATAGACATTATTTTTGTAATTATAATGACCCGCATAAATTTCAGTTTTCCTATTTTCTGATGAATCTTAATTCTTGAGTTAATGATTGAATAAGCTTATTGTGAGTTCTATAACAATAAAATGTCCGTTAAAATCACCCTATCGCATCGTTAAATATTTGAGCTTTAACAAAATGCTGTTATAACAATAATAAATATCATGTTCGCCATTTTAAGAAGGTGGGTACAAAGGAAAAGATTTGAAAATGAAAAAAATTTCCATTTCACTGAAACAGACGTTAAACATTTCTATCTTCCTTTCTTTCTTTCATTCCTTCATTTTCTCAGTGAAACTAAGTAGCGTCTCAGAATGTCTCTTCCGTCTTTCAACGCCATCAAAATGAAATAGGAGATGTTAAACACTTTTATCTGTCCTTATTTCTTTCTTTATTTCATTCATTTTCTCATTAAAAGCAAATCGCGTCCCTGATACGTCTTTTCCGCCTTTCCACGCGATCAAAACGGAATGGACCATTATTTATGAGATATTGGCAGGACGTAATTGTCGTGCTAACTAAAAGAGGAGCAAACAGAATTATAATCAGATACTGATTGTTACAAGTTATTCTATGTCTCCTTAAGCTTATTTGTAACTGGCGCTTTAACATTATTCATTCAGCGTACATAAGTCATAAGTCATTGATTCCAATACATGAAGCTGCCAACCCATTCAGTCAAACGCATGCGCATTGTACGTGATGAATATGGTGGTTTAATTTAATTTTCTTATATTTAAGTTCACACAATATCAGGCTCAAGAGCCACTCATGGTAGAGACTTACTGAATTAGGCGTCCGATTATGCGGATAAGGAGGGTAGATAGTGATTGGCCCATGACTTGAAGAGGATAAGATTGCCATGTTCAAGGAAACATCCACGCGGGAGTCAATTTCCCTAAGTATCAGTTCTCGGAAAGAAGCTCTCCGAGTAGAATTTCTTCCTTACAAATGTAATACGGCGGAAATATGGGTGATTCGACTCCGTGGACATAACATTGCGAGTCCTTGCTGTAAATGTTTGAATGGGTAGCAATACGGGTGGGGAGCTCATCCGAATATTTCTCATGAAAAAGTGAGTAGCGATGAGCTAATATCGTGGCGTCTGGGTGGGGGGTGGAATGAGGTTGCAGGGTAGAAAGTAATTCATCACCCACGAGGTCACGTAGAGGCTCTTGATGTCTAGCCAGCTGTAAGGTACGGGCATGGGCAACTCAAGAGAAATAACACACTTTTAGCCCCCGGAAAAGGAAAACAGTAAGGACATTACAAAAAGAGTATTAAAAAATATGTTTCCTTGTCCGTATAAAAGATAGGAGGGAGAGAAGAGATGGATTCATGTCTTTCCCAAGTGTATTGTTGCGAAAGTCAACGCAACAGATTTAACAGTGTTGAAATCCATATTGAAATCTTTTTCAGTTGACAGTATTAAAATCTACATTGAAATCACTTTGAAATAGACAGTACTGAAATCCATATTGAAATCTCTTTCAATTGACAGTATTGAGATCTACATTGAAATCTTTTTGAAATAGAGATTATTAAAATCTATTTCAATTGACAGTATTGATATCTACACTGAAATCACTTTGATATAGAGAGTATTGAAATACATATTGAAATCTCTTTCAATTGAGACTACTGGAATCTACATTGAAATCACTTTGAAATAGAGATTATTGAAAGCCATATTGAAATGTCTTTTAATTGACAGTATTGAGATCTACGTTGAAATCACTTTGAAATAGAGATTATTGTAATCCATATTGAAATCTTTTTTTTTCAATTGAGGGTAATAAGAACTACATTGAAATCACTTTGAAATATCAGTATTGAAATCCGTATTGAAATCTTTTTCAGTTGTCAGTATTGAAATCTACATTGAAATCACTTTGAAATATCAGTATTGAAATCCGTATTGAAATCTTTTTCAGTTGTCAGTATTGAAATCTACATTGAAATCACTTTGAAATAGACAGTATTGCAATCCATAATGAAATCTCTTTCAATTGACACTATTGAGATCTGCACTGAAATCACTTTGAAATAGAGAGTATTGAAATCAATATTGAAATCTCTTTCAATTAACAGTATTGAGATCTGCACTGAAATCACTTTGAAATAGAGAGTATTGAAATCAATATTTTAAATCTCTTTCAATTGATAGTATTGAGATCTGCACTGAAATCACTTTGAAATAGACTGTTTTGAAATCCGTATTGAGATCTCTTTTGGTTGACAGTATTGATATCTACATTGTAATCACTTTGAAATAGGGAGTATTGAAATAAATATTGAAATCTCTTTCAGTTGACAGTATTGAGATCTACATTGCAATCAGTCTCAATTAACAATTCTTCTAGTTTGTTCAATCTTCCTTATTTCTTTTTTTTATCTTTAATACATTGTGGTCAATCTTTTTCCGCAACTGGCAGTGGAAGCATTTTCTTTTATTCATTATTACTTCTCTTTTCTTTCAGGCTGTTTATTTATTTTTGTTTGGCATGATAAAAGTTCAATCGTTTGTATAAATCTCAGTGGTAACCTTTCATACCCAGTCAAGTCCATTTTGTATACCCTAAGTAAATTTTGCGTTACGGTATTATATGATATTTTTTAAATGTCTTTATGTGGAAATTATTTTCATTATCATTAGTTTTTGTCGCAGTTCTCAGATGGCTATAAAATAAATTGAATTACTGACAGAAAAAATACACCCAGATCGATAGATAGATAGATAGATAGATATAAGCAGACTGAGATAGATAGATAGATAGATAGATAGATAGATAGATAGATAGATAGATAGATAGATAGATAGATAGATATGAGCAGACTGAGATAGATAGATAGATAGATAGATAGATAGATAGATAGATAGATATGAGCAGACTGAGATAGATAGATAGATAGATAGATAGATAGATAGATAGATAGATAGATAGATAGATATGAGCAGACTGAGATAGATAGATAGATAGATAGATAGATAGATAGATAGATAGATAGATAGATATGAGCAGACTGAGATAGATTGATAGATAGATAGATAGATAGATAGATAGATAGATAGATAGATAGATAGAGTCAAAAATTAAACAAATAGAGAAAGCAAAAAGAAAGAAAAAAGATTATGTAAAGAAAGACAGATACAAAGAAAGACAGATAGAGAGAAAGACAGAGAAAAAAATGAGATATAAAGAGAGAAAGACATTACAAGAATGAGAAATGAAGAGATAATAAGTTAGAAAGAAGAAGATAGAGGGAAAGATAAAAAGATAGGGAGAAAGAGTTGTAAGGAGATAGATATATAGAGAGAAAGGGAGATAAAGAGAGAGGAAAAAAGAGAAAGAGATATAAAGTGATAGAGAGAAAAGGGAAAGAGAAATAAGGAGGTAGAAAGAAAGATGGATAAAGAGATAAAAAAAAGAGAGTGATAAAGCGGCAAAGAGAAAAAATAAAAATAAAGTCATATTGAGCAAAGATACAAAAATAGAAAGACATAGATATGTGAAGAGAAAGGCAGATAAAGAGAGAGTAAAAGAGAAAGATAAAAAGAAAGTAAGAAAAGATATAGAGAAGGAGATAGAGAGAGAAAGAAAAAGAGGATAAAGAGATAAAAGAGAGAGAGAAAGAGAGAGAGAAAGAGAAAGAGAGAGAGAAAGAGAGAGAGAGAGAAAGGACTGCAACAATTGCAAGTAAATAACGTGCGGTCAGACAAGGAAAAACGATTCTTTTCGAGTAAATTGGCCCAAAATTACACATATTTTTTTTTATTTTGACGAAAATGAAGACATTTCCAACAAAAGATGACGACTCCATCTATTGATTACTATTTCATTTTTGGCATAATCGATATTTTTGTTTTTGATTGGAAATATTCATCGATTTTCAATTAAATGACGTCCTTAAAACAAATGGATGACGTTTTAATTGATCAGGTACCACAGTCATTTTCACAATGGCGAAAT